AATAAGATCCCAGAAAGGCTCAATACTGTCACGTTCATCTGTAGACTCTGCATCCCTTGCTCTCCGTAATAATCCCCGACCTCGTAGGAAGTCTGTCAGCCTTCCACTGGTTTCATCATCGGGAATGTAGGTCTTCTCTTCACTGATCAGACTTCTTCTTTGTTTGGTGGCTCCTATATCGGGGAACAAATAATTTGCAAGGAAACGAGCCATGCGCGGTACCAGTTCTTTGTTCAGACATGCGTGAAACGGGAGCGATTTGATTTCATCTGAACCCATGACGCTAGCATTGACGGTCATGTTGATGCAGCTTGTAGCCAAAGTGTCGACGGGGGCTTGAAAACAGATGCTTTGAATCTTGAGCACATTTTCAAGGCCATAGTGTTTGATGGAGTCGGATGCTTCTATTCCGATAGTGGAGTCTCTGTCGATTAGTGAAAGGGCTTTTCCAGCCGCGTCCAACACTGCTTTTGTTTTGCCTTTGGAAAATTCTGAGTCGAAGACGTTTTGAGTTAAATTATCCACTCTTCGCTTCTGGTCTAGGTATATATCCTTAGGAGAAAAAGTGGACAAAACTGTTAAAGAAGGTTTTAAGTAACTGAAAATTACTATAGATTTTGATCATTGAAAGCTTCAAGAAATAATTCACTTTCCAACCGACGTTGCTATAGAGAGAATCGCAAATGACAAGCTGTGCAGAAGCGAGGGATCTCACCGCTACTGTGCTTGCTACAGCTTTCTCATTTTGCGACAAAATGGGATCCATGACTTTTTGGCGTTACGTCGTTAACGGTTTCGTTCGATCCCAACAGACCCTCTGCATTAAGCTACCCGTTCACGTGGTACAATTTAAATCGCTATGCTATATTGGGACAAGACAAACAAAGATAATCGTTTATAAATGATGCAAGACATTTATTTGTTTTGTATCAGAGCGTCCCTTGCTCTCCAACCTGGCGACTTTATACCACGTGAATGACTACCTACAAAGGGTTTATTAATTTCTTGAACATTCTCAGAGGGCCACTGATTTTTACGTTTGGGCGCAGAAAAGGAAAAGGAAAACCAGGGCTCAGTTGTTCGAAGGGCGATTAGCGCTAACCCGGGATTAAATTTTACTCTGTGCATGTTCTTATTCTTCAGTTCGAAAGCATTTTTTCGGATAATTTTCTCCATTCTTTATAAAGCATCAGATCATTTCCATGTAGGTAAAAAGAATTAGACTAAATTTGCTTTTTAAGCTTTCATATCTGAATTTAGACTTCGCACTAAACCCGGGATATCGTGAGCTCTGATTTGAACTTCCAGGCCAAGGTTGCTAAGTATGACCGAAAATGGCTTCTCGGCAAGCTTGACTCTTCAAGGTGGCTGGATACATCTAATTCTATTGCCTGCGTTTTTATAGGAAACAACGATGTTGAGCTATCTACTTGATCGGTAACACCTATAAATAAGGTTATATACCCTGGCGTCTTCAAGATTTCCATCGGCCACTCTCCGTATATAGGTACACCCGTGATTTTTAGCAACACACACAGGATCTCCTGATTTGTAACAACACTTGTTCCATGATGGACATTCCACACAACTGCCAAATACATCACGTGCGCAGCATCGGTTCCAATCTGGACAGCCGATACAACCTAAATGGTTAAACGTGAAAAAAGGATTAAAATAAGAATTAAAAGTGTAGGGAAACCATATTAAATTTATGATACAATATATTATCATTACAATGAGTCGCTAATTGATGTTATTGTCCGAAACGCGGTAAATCTTGGTTTTTTGGACATGTTTTGAGAGGCTTTTGGATATTTTTCGAGGTCCCGCTTTGTATTTATTATCTAAATTGAAAGCTTAGGTCAAACAACGAATTCCAGCAAAACTAACAACAACAAAGTAGCTGAAAAAAATAGCAGAGCCGCAGCCGGAGGGATCATATTAAAATATCACGAAGTGTTCTCTGGCTAAAATTGTTTCCAAAAATACGAGCTTTCGACCGCCTGATCTGTAGTTATCAACTGGCAAAATAATTAAATGAAAAAATAATGATGTGAAGTGTAATATAAACACAATAGAATAAAATTGCCATTGAGAAAGAAGGAATGCATTGGAAACTTGCTTAAAAGACTGCTATATTGCCTTGGGAGGAGGCAAGAGTTATTGTCTGCATTGGGAGTGATCATGGTGTTATACCAGGATTCCAGAAACTTTTTTACGCTCGATAATCGCCCATGACAATGATCAAAGCATTCATCATGGTCATGAGATCAGGCCAAGCAGGATTAGCGATTCTGAGCCTTCAGCCGCGGTTTTGACATCATTTTTTTCTTGAAGCGAATGATCTGCCCGCTCTCCAATATAACTTTATGAAAATTTGCCGCACGGAATCTTGTAAAAGACAACATCAAGTTGTAAATGTAAGGCTGGGTGGTCGTGAATTTGGAATCGGCAACTTTTGTTGAAGTGGTCTTAATTGTTTGTTAACAAGAGTGAGTATTGAGAAAACACGATATCAGATCACGCGGTGGATAGCCTCGTATTATTTGGAACACAGATTTAGCCATAGAACGCTCCTTGATATTTTGATAGAGTAGCTGGACCAAAATAGTGGCAAATTGGACTAATAACACAATGACGGATATCTCAATGACAATAGAAGGGGTCGAAACGAGTGACCCGCTCTAGAGTCATCAAGGCCAATAACATCCCGGCGTTACTGACAGACGAGCAATAACTTCGCGGCTAAATCGATTATTTGGGTTAACAGCCACAGTTAAAACATCAATTGACAATATTTAAAAAATCACTTCGTCCACTGGTTGATGAGCGTCTCCGTGTAGGATTAGGCACTGATCCACCGGCGTGCCCCCTCCCCCCATAAATTCGCATTTACATGCCTTTTGGGCTACTGTTTTTGGTGGACTAGAACTAAATAATGCCTTTCAATATTATTCTTGCTCAATCTCTAGCCATTAAGCACTCTTCTTACGAAGTTACTTACTCTTTTTACAGTCATCCAGTTGACAGCTACTGTTATATCGCTCTTCTGCCATCCAAACCTCTTTGTTTCTCTTATCCAGAATTTCTTTCTCTTCTTCCAGTTTCTCGCGATAGAATTCTTCATTTTTGGTTGCCTTACGGTAATAGTTCTTGGCTTCTTTCAAGTTTTCTGTCGCTTGGTTAATGAAGCTGTCTGCTTCTACGGCGGCTGCTTTTAGAAGGGTATCAACAGCTTTGAGAACTTGCTCATGAATGCCGGGAAGACAACCGGAAGCCTAAGAAGAGAACAGTTTTACTGGTTTACTCGGCTGAAATTGCCATTGATTTGGTGTGCCATCATCACTAAACTTCGTAAGAGCAACTTGTCTCAATCTTACATTCCAGTAACAATATGCCCGCCAATGTTCGAAATAGTATCCCTACCCCTAACATATACTTTTACTTCCCTTTCGACGTCACCACACAATGACGCGATTATTTGAAAGCTTTTGAACTGAGACCAGGTCTTTATCGTAATTACAGTAACATGATCTTACAAGTTTTCATAGTCTTTTCTACGCGCTAGTTGTTGGTCCGGCCTGGATTTAAACTGGCGACCCTTCGCCAACCCAGCCGGCAATGAAACAAATTTATCAGTTGGAAAAACTTATTGACTTTATTGGATGTATGAAAGTGCTTAAAACTGACCAGTAAATAGAATTTAACGATTTGTAATAAACGCACATTGATCCTTGGTCAACGTGCACAGTCAAATATCGATCCGTTTAATGTATATCAGATCTACAAAAGGATGGTTAATGGCTATGTCTTTTTATCGACCACTTCACCTGGAATGATGAGGTTTCTGATCCTTCCAACGCCTCTGGTGAAGAAATGTATAGCCCAGTTGACGTGATATCAAAAAGGTTTCCCTCCACTGGAAATTCTGTGCCCGCTTCAGAAATCTTGATCTCCGTTAAGGATCCTGCGCCAAGAACTCTTGCAAAACCTTTGAGTTTGACTTGAACATCGAAAGGAGCAATAGAAACATCCAGTTTTGGACCACTCTTGGAAATTGCCTTACTTTGCTGAACTACAATGAAGCCATTTGATAACACAAACGGTGCTTTAGTGTTGTTCGACATCAAATGAATGTGTTGAGAATCGTTCAACTTCATCGCACAGTCAAAAGTTCTATCGAAGATGTGAAGTTTACCTCTCATAGTAAAATTGGTCTTGGCATTCGGCGTTGGATGATAGAACGCATCCAATCCATTGGGGAAGATGGCATAGGCAAGCGGATATGGAAGTGTCGCGTTTGGGATTTCCATTGCCTGGACAATTTTATCAATAGTCATGTCTGTAAGTGTGGAATCCACATAACTTAATTCGGGCTCCATCGCGTTGTAAGATATCGAACAAGGAGCCATTATCTCATGACCACTACCTACTGTGCCCAGTGTCATTCGTGCTGTCAAGGAAAGCTTCTGCAATGGAATGGAATTCATTATTTCAGTGTTCAAGGAAAGCTGGTCAAAAGTCAAGTATCCGCCTCTGTAAGAACGATAAAAGGCGTCTTGACTCTGCATGGTCAACTCTGCACTGCCGTTTTCAAAGTTTATGTTTCCATAGAAGGTAAGTTCTTCCTTGGGAAAACGCATCTTAGTCTGTATGTTGAAAGTAGAATAATCCTTAATTGCAATTTGCAGCATATTATCCTTCAACACGAGGCCATTGCCTAGAACGTAGTTGCGATTTACCAGTCCTGCCAAGGTGAACCCATCACTTTTGACAAGTCCTTGCACCCTGTACCACTGATCACTTTCAAGCATGCTTTTTGCTGACACACATATGTTATCGTTTCGACAGTCTACAGGCATTCGAAATAGTCCCACCATGGAAATACCACGCTCGAACGAAAGCCCTGAAAGGGTTGGATTTTCGAAGAGGGACTCGTCATCGTCTAGCGACAGAACCAATGACGTGTTGAAACTGTTCTTTAGTATTCTCTTCAAATTTTCCACGTCGATTCCAGTCAACGCTTCTATGATGTAAGGCATCGGAATTTTTGGAAATATAAAACCAACTGACGTTTTCAGTTGTCCTTTGTCTTCGTAAACCACTGCCTCAGCCTCAGTTGTTTTATCAACGCCGGGAAAATTTCCCAAACCAGAGATGTGAATGTAACGATTTTTCTGCTTCTCAGACGTGGCAGACTTTATCCTCGGAGTAATGAAATCAAAATCGCTCATTTGGCTGTTTTGGACGATGGCTTGGCTTTCTGCGTCTGGGATAAAATTTAGTCCATATTGCTGGGCCAACAATCTAACTGACATCTTCTCTGCTTCTCCGCTGATAAACACCACTTTTGTCTCATCTTCTGTTTTCAAGGAGATATTTGCCTTTGCCCCTCCGAGCTCCGACACCCCATGTCCTTCGAATGACCAAGTATTGAATTCGTCTGCAATGCGGTGTCGAAACGTTACGTTGACATCTGACACGTTTAGGAGACCAGGAATTGCAGCGAAACTTTCAGGTACATTTGCATGGACAGTAAAAGTCTCTTGCTTGATGTTATAACTGAAATGATTTATTTTTACATCGGAAAGCTTAGGGAAACCGTGAGGTAGGACTCTTATCCTAGCACTTGGTGACAAAGCTTTGAGAGTCTGCGCAACACTGACATCTTCGTGGCGAGAAGTAACAAACTTGACCAGCGGAGGATTAACCACAATGGCCACCTTAACTGGTTTCGTGTCCTCATTTCCCAAGCGAAATGGGAGCAAGAGAGTTAACCCTTTAGAAATGTGTGACTGCAATTCGTTTGCCAGAATACCCTCACCGAAAGACTTAAGAGGAAGTTTATCGACATCACCTGTCGATGCAACAAAGCCAAAATTGGTGCGGGTCTTACGAAAGACTCGTGTTTTAGCGATGAGATGGTTGATGAATGGAATCTTAAACAGATCGTCGCTGACAAGCTTGAGGAGGGCTCGCGAAGGTAAATCGTGGTCAAATTCCAGCAGCACCGAGAATATGCTTTTCTTTTTAGGCATTTTGCGGATAAAAACTTTGCAATCTGATGAGCGTGTGTCAGCAAGAAGTGGTTCTCCAGAAATCATGAAGACATAGTCCTCGTTTCCTTTAAAAACAGAGTACATTTCCACATTTTGCAAAGTAAGATTCTTTAACGTTTCCACGTTCATTCCTGCATGTTCCACGCTTTTTCTCTCCGAAAGCCCTGTAGCTACTTCGTACACGTTAATTTTGTCAGCCGCTGCAACCATGGTGTGGTGATCGCCAATTTTTGATTCTTCAATTTTCACAGTTGCTGTCATATTACCTTGATTCCACTTTCCTGTAATAAACCAAAATTGTTGAAATCGATAACCATTTTAACATTTTTTGAGCTCAGTTACTATTTCAGCATTTATCCATCAAAAAAATCGTCAATGTTGGACTGACGACAGCAGCGACGTTTCTACAAGCTGTCTGAAAATTGACAATAGACAATAGACGGCATCTTATTGGGGGTCCTATACTAGCTGGTACATTAACCGACTGATTGATGCCCGTTGACCCTTAATGCACTGATTTAAGGTGTTATAAATTAAGACAATTTTTCAAGCTCACTTAAATTTTGACCAACGAACTGATAACAATTCAATTTACCATAATGATTAGACTATTTTCAGTCCCTTATAATATTCACCTAATGAGCTTATTGTGAACGAAACAACGAAAGCGGGTTTGGGAATGTTAGTTGTCTCTTGTTCCCATCCATCCTTCGATCCACCGTTCAGTTAAACCTGGATCGAATCACAACCTGTTCCTTTATCCAAAATTTTCTGTCATTTTATGAGTTACAGGAGTTGATTCGATAGGGTCCGATCCAGGTTTTGTTAACGCTTCCTTCTGTCTCGCTGTAGGTGCGCCTATGCATCATGTCAACTGGACTGAATAAGAAATAAATGGACTAAGCAGTCTACCGGGCTGCAAAAGAAGGCATGAATAACACAGGTGGAGAAATATTAGTCCCATGTAAGGGAATCCAAGACAGTGTTGGATTCTGGATTCCACGCCCTGGATTCTCGATTCCCGGGAACTGCATTCCTTGTCGGTGGAACTTGGATTTCGGATTCCAATCGTTAGCCGGATTCCGGATTCCAAGACCCTGGAGTCCTGATTCCACAAGTTAAAATTTCCCGGTGGATTCCTGATTTTCCCGGACTCCGGAATCCGGATTACTTAACATGGGGCGAAAATTATGTCATGGTAGCTCAAAAAAAAAAAGCTGTTTACCCAACCTTCAGCGTTGAAACTCCATTTTCCACCTGGATTATTCTTGTCGTACTTGAACGTCATTTTCACGTCATCTATGGTCATTCCCTGTCCCAGGAGTTTGACAGGATCCTCTAGATCAGCCACGACAGTGACCTTTCCTTTCTTAATATTGTAATCAAAGTTGTCGGTTTTCAGCTCTGACAAGGAAGGGAAGCCGTCTGGCATGGATGGCATTGAGCCTAATGGTACGATTTTTTGAAGAAGGCGTTTTGCTGAAGGAAGGTCATCTGCAAATTTGTAAGCAAAATTTTTCAGAACAGCGAATTGAAACGCTAAACTAAGCTGTAACTTTGATTTTTGCCTTTATACCGCCCTGGACAGTGACTCTGGGCAAAGGGAAACGTCGCTAAAATGGCAAAACTATTTGTGTTATCCGATCTCCCGTCTAGTCCCTTTTAAAATATATTTTTTTCCTGTGATCCACTTGTTAATTGAAATGAATTACATCAGAGACAGGGTCACTGTAAACGTTCACGGATTTGCCCTTTCCTGACCGAAAAATGATGTCCCCAGCAAAATCAACTTGGATCTTATTCATATTCAGGAAAAGTCTGAGTCCTACAATAAGATTGAGACAAATTTTTGAAAACACAAAATCGGTGTATACAGTGACCATGTGTCTGCACAACATTATCAGACATTTTTACCTTCCGTGAAAAGAAAATTACTATAAATCATTAGATTCCCCGTCTTCAAAGTCTTTTTACTGGCTGACTTGAATGAGTTTTCACAATGTTGGTAAAGCCAAGACAGGATAATGGGTTAAAGCCTTCAATTCGTTTGTATACTACAATCACGGACAAAAACCTTGGTGCAAATTTGCATTCACACATGCCCAACCTCTCCAACCCCCTCCCCCCCACCATCCCATAAACAGCGTTGAACGCGTGTATGAATCCAGAACTTTTCCCAAGTTTCAATATATATTGTATAGGGTGGGTGATGGAGAATTGCAAGAAATTTTCGAAAAGGATGCGTGTAGGGCCAAATAATAATTATTGCTTCTTGATGACATCGCTAAACCACTGATCTACTGGTTTTGAAAAGTGCGTGTTTGTTTTGAAATTGTTCACATTCTACAAATGTCTTCAATACGGGTACCATTCTTCTCTTGCAAGGTGCTCTATTGTAGTACTTGTTGATGACACATAAACCGTACTACCAAAAGCTAAACTGGGACGCCGCTGTTCCGCTGAATCAGTTGCTTTACAGCGGCTAAATAATACCTCACTTGCAATTTCATCATATCAGTAATAAAATCGTTTGTGAAATTCTTAAAAAATGTTAGCGTTTTTGTATGCGTAGTGGTTCTTTGGAGTAACCGGTAGTTGCCTTAAAAGTAAAATTGTCACCGATCTGATTTTACTTATTAAATGACACCGAGCGAGGGTTAGACTTAACGTCTTGATTATACAATTATAAAAAAAATAGTTCTCGGCTTAACAATATTATTTCATATTATTTGACGATAATAGTGGCCTTGTTACTCCTCAGATCTTCGATTCGATACATTGCTTCATTTGTGTGAAACATCGAGTACGTTAGAAAGCCCAAAAAGATGAAGGAGGCGAAAAAACGTCCTTATAGACTGAAGAGATTAATCACTCGAAATCTGTTGAAATACCTATCACGGATTTACAAGTTGAATTACCTTTGTCGAAGTCATCGTCCTCTGCTTGACAGGCGGAAGACAAGAAGAAAACAGCTAGAACAATATGGAGCGAGAAGGTCATCTTTAAACTACCTGTAATAGAATTACAAAGATACTGCCATGAATTACGGAGTCAAAAGATCACGGGGGAAAAATCGGCGACATCTGCGCTGATAAACTGACTTAAAAAACAATTTTAATTCTAAGTGTGGAACTATTTTTTTGCCCTATAAGGATAAGAAAAAAGAACAATGTTCCAGAGAATTTACGTCTATGTTTAACTTTAAAGAAAGTGTGAGACACGTTCTTAAAACGGAATTTTTTTTCATAATAAAAGAACTTTACTTTTAAACAGCAAAAAGAAGTCTTGAAAAAAAAGTTATTGGTTTCTAACCTTAATTCGGGGGATTTTGTATTGATCAAATTGCTTCACTGAAAAAATTAGAGACACTTACCAATATGATATCACTCTGTTGATTCACAGCGTATTTCAAAATTCCTATCAAATTTCTAACAGTGGTTTATCGACACCATCACCGCTAATACTAATTCAAATAAATCGTCGTATGAGTTAAATAATGTCCTCCAGAACAAAAGTGGTTTTCGGTTTTCGAGTTATATTGTCACAGATTGAATGGTCGTTGTGGTCAGTTTTTCGCTGTAGTCCGCGGCACTTCATGTTATATTCATCACTGTATACCGGTGCTTTCACGGTGTCGCTTCAAAAGACAAGTCATGCATATTGATAACAGCGTTATAACATGGCAGGCAGCTTGACCCTTGTTGCCATGGTGAATGTTGTGTATGAAATTTAAGCATTCATTTGAGAAGTTTGTGTGCATCAAACCGCTTACTGCCCCCTATGCCAGATTAAGAGCCCGATTTTATGAGGCGGCCAGCGCGGTTAGCCAGGCTGGCTCTCTTTGCCCGACTGGCTCGGCTCATGCCTTGTTGCCTTAAAAGTTGTCGTTGTTTTTATATGAGAAGGCGGACTGACCCGTTTGCTGAGATCTCGGTTGCCCAAAGCGAGTTCTCGGCAAGACTGAAACTCTGTTTTCTGATAACTTCTGAGTCTGGGCTGGATTTGCGATAAAGTGCATCTTTTAAACGCAAAATGCTCGTGCATAAGGAAGGCAAATTACTATGAAACAATGAGCAATGAGGACTGAATTGAGTAAATGAGAATCAGAATCAGTTTCCATGTTTGAATTCGTACTCATTATCATCATAAAAAGAACTGCTATCTTGGCTTCAAAGAATGACTGCGCCATTCGTTGCTCCCAAAAGGTAACTGAAATGAAACCTAACTATAGAAGCTAGCGCAGTTGCGAGAGCAGATTCGCCTCCCACCAATGTGGCCCGGGTTCAAATCCCGGCATCAATTCCATATATTGGTTGAGTTTATTGTCGTTCTCCCTTTTGCTCCGAGAGGTTCTTCACCGGATACTTCGGTTTTCTCTTCCCCTCAAATACTTCCCTGAACCTTTTGTCCAGAAGTGGTGTCATAGGACCTGCCAGGACACAGAATACGCTGAATACCAGAGGCCTCATATTAATTTGTTTTGCAGTAGCGGCTGTGATCGGACATCAAGACTGATCCATCCGTTATTTCAGGTAAACCCCTAGTCTTGCCTTACAGTCCTGTGATGATACTTACAATTGTCTATTTATTACAACAGAAAAACTGAATCATAAGGGCATGATACCCGTGATATGTATTTAGTTTGTATACATTGCCATTTATAAGAGGAAAAATAACACGCGTCTTTCATTAGACGCGTCCTAAATAAGACGCAAACTATCCCGTATAAACGGCACATTAAGACGCCACTTAGCAAAGACGTGTCTTATTGAATAACAGGCGTTAGGGGCTGTTCCCACTTAAGATTCGTGTTAGCTAAATTTCAAACGAAATACGCCGTTTATACGGGATAGTTTGAGTCTTATTTAGGACGCGTCGTATTGTAAGACGCGTTTATTTTTCCTCGTATAAATGGCCCTGTCGATAATTATCAAGTTAATCAGTTTTTACTGTTACGCAAATCATCATCATTCAAGTCCGGTTACGTTCAAATAGTACACTATTCCGGATATGCGGCACGAAAACCGTTCCGGATAGGGCTTCTCAGACAAGCCTGGTGATTTGGGCGCGATTTCTTTAACGAAGCGGCGCCGCGCCGATCTCTGAAGTGGGGAGCCACGGTACAGTGTGATCATAGGTTTATTTTCACGGAAGTTTCTATCGGTCTTGAGGCTATTATGACCAAAACAGCATAGTCCATCACCTGAGGGGGTTCTAATACTCATCTCAGGAGAATAAACGAGACTGATCCCAAATGAAAGATTATCTATTTACCTTTCCAAAAATGTCTTGCCGGACATTCTGAGTGGTAGCTTTCCAGTAGAAATTAGACTTTGAAGGTACGCTATTGGAAGCCGCCGACGGCCGCCATTTTGTTTCCTAGCCGGGAACCCCAAGAAAATGAAAACATACAAATAAACTACTTCGAAGACCTTTAAAAGCCAAAATATATTTTCAAAGTAGATGTAAGTTGATTTGTTTAGAGTGAATTGTAATATTAAATGTGATTTGGAAGGTTTTTGGAGGATTTTGGACAGAATTTAGACTCAAAATTTAGCTGTAACGAAAGCTCTGTGGAGAGTTACATTCAAAGTGTTATTTGTAGAGGTCATTACAAATTGCATCAGAAATTATATTTGTTTATGCGTATTGATCTGTATCTTATAAATATTCTTTATGATTTCCCTTGCCCTTAACTCCTCAATATATACACTCCGTCCTGAGTTTAGTCTTCAGAACTTGACTTAGTGTTTTAAAATTTTAATATTTTAGCGACACAACTTGTAATATTTAAGCAACTATCATTTTCATTTAATAGGTGCTGTAACTAAAAACTGGCTTGCACGCATGATTAGAAAAAGGTTAATTCATTGATTTATAGTTTATAGTAATATTGCATGATATATGGGTAATAACTGAGTAAACATTATTTTACATCAGCGGTGAAATTTGGCTGCAGCTAGAACAAAACATGGTAATGCATTTCGGGATGCTGCACTTATGAAAGAATTCCACAACCAATGCGCCTATCCCCAAAGTACTCGGGAATGTCCTTTTTTATTACACCTGGTCACTAATTATAATTAGGTGACGAGGCATTTGGCCATTCCATCATCGACTCCTAGAGAGTCTCAGTCATGTTGCTTTTCTACCTTGACGCGATGGAGCAAGCTATTCTCAAGCGACAACTACAGCGTCCCGTCTCGCTATCCATTCTTACTTTTCCCTCCAGGATCGAGGATAGTCGCTCTTTTGATGTTAATATGGAGCTTTCACTTAGCCAGCGACCGTTCCAAGAGATGACATCGGGTAGCTCGGTACCATCATCTGGTCCTAATGGTGAAGGTCGAGCGCATGAAGTTATTGACTATCCACATCCCCCACTCAAGAGTCACAGATCATATAAGACTTAAGAACGAGGCGCTCAGTCCTAGTGCCCGT